TTCGATGCCGTCCCAGCTCGGCCTGCAGCTCGGTCCTGACTCTGGCCACGGCTCCCTGGACCTCCCTCTGCTTCAGCTCCACCTCCTGTTGGACGCCATGCTATCGGTCAGTTCCACTAGTCAGAGACGGGGCATTCACAGACAGGCCATCGGGCCCATCCAAACTCCTACACGAGCGACACCAGAAGATCGTGCACCACCCGACAATAAGGCTCCACGCAAAACCGCCATTACCTTGGCGCAGCCATCATCATCATCATCATCATCATCATCATCATCATCATCATCATCATCATCATCATCACGATACCGCCACCAACGACCGCGCGCGGTCCCAAGCTGATCCAGAACTGTTAAAGGCAAGATACATTTGCGGGAAGTTCGGGCCGTTATCGGACCGGGCTGGGTCCCATGGCGGTGTGTCGGCCGGGTACAGTTGGACCGCGCCGCCCACCGAAGGTCACTCCACCGCCGTCACCTTGGTGAGGCACTCCACCTCGGAGCGGAGCGTGCGGGCGTCCAGCTCCAGCTGGTGCGTCTTGCCCTGCAGCCGCTGATTGGCTGTCTCCAGCTGGTGCCCTCTCCTGGCCGGCCAATGCCAGCTGCGAGTGGACGTGGTCAACCTGGGCCTGCAGAGTCTGGCAGCGGTCGTCCTGTAATGGACGGGCCAGTCTCCTTACAGGTAACCAATCACCAACGCCTCGCAGCATTGGAAATAAATCCATATAAATTGTGTCCGTGTTCCTCTTCAGCATCGAACCTCGGTTAGTGGCTTGGACAGTGACACGTGCAAACCGCAGATGCCGACATCACGCACATTACACATCTTCCGCAGCACTGATATCTGTCAGCTCTCAGCAGCGCCTGCCACGGCCGTGGCGTGACCTGCCAGCGCCGCGCCAGGCGTACCTCCTGCTGCTTCAGTCGCAGCGGAGCGCGGCCAGCTCCTCCTGGTGCTCTCGGGAGACGGTTGTACAGCCGCTGGCCGGCCTCGTGCAGCTGCGCCTCCAGAGCTGCCCTCTGCTCGTCACCCAGGCGCAGCTGGGTCTGGCAACAGGGGCGGGGAGGAGCGTGAGGGGTGACCCTCTGCTCGCCACCCAAACACAGCTGGGTCTGGTAGCAGAGGCGGGGGAGCGTGACGGGTGACCCTCTGCTTGCCACCCAGGCGCAGCTGGGCCTGGCAGCAGCGGCGGGGAGCGTGATGGGTGACCCTCTGCTCGCCACCCAAACACGGCTGGGTCTGGAAACAGGGGCTGGGAGGGGCGTGAAGGGTGACCGCCTGCTCATCACGCAAAACGCAGCTGGGTTCTGGCAGCAGAGGTGGGGAGCGCAAGGGGTGACCCTCTGCTCATCACCCAGGCGCAGCTGGGTCTGGCAGCAGAGGCGGGGAGAAGCGTGAGGTGTGATCCGATTCAGCTGGGCCAGTTAACAGCAGTAAAGGAGGCTGAAGGTTACAGGTAGTCTGCTCATAATAAGACAAGGGTGGAATCTGTCAAGATTGGCAGAGCATGAGTGCGTAAGCTCGTCCCCCAAACGCAGATCGGTTCATCAAGAGATCACCTTCAGTGACAAGAGGTCTTCAGGGGAGGGGGGATGGAGTCACCATGGTGACAGTGACAGCCGAGCCAGGCTTCTCCTGTGGTGACGTCAGCAGTCACGCGCGTCGGAGCACACCTGCAGGTTGGCGGCGGCGGCCGTCGCCTGCTCCTTGACCTTGGCCAGCTGGCTCCTGCGCTGCTCGTCGGCCGCCTCGGCCTCGGCGCGCCACTTCAGCTGCTCCCGCTCGGTGGCCGCTGGTGACACCGGTCAGAGCGGGTCAGGGGTCGACTGGCGACGGTGGCAGGTGGCGACCTAGCTGCCGACGCAAGTCGGCTGATCGGCCAGCAATGCACGGACACCGCCAGCTGATCCCTCTCACCGCCGCGCCCTACCCTGACTCGCGGCGCTCGCGCCAGCAAACTGTGGGATGATACTAAACGGCCTCCGAAGATAGCAGCCCACCAACCCACCCCCGGGGCCTCACAAGGTCCACTGCTCTCAGAGGCGCATACGTTCCCACGCACGGGCGCATCGCCAGTTACATTCGTCCCCCGCGAGGGTCCGGCCCCATCCGATCCCAGGGAGGGCCTTCCGCCCACTGACCTTGGACGTCGTCCCGGAGCGAGCCGACCAGCGTCTGCAGCCGAAGCCCGTCCTGCTGCAGCCGGTCGGCCCTGGCGGCCTGCTCGGCCAGCTGGCGCTCGGCCTGCAGCCGCAGCTGGCGCTCCTCGGCCAGCCGCCGCTCCAGCTCCGCCGCCTGCTCGCTGTGCTGCTGCTCCGCCCGCTGCGCCGCCTGGTGGCGTCACATCACATCCCGTCAGACAGGATGAGGCGCTTGGTGACGTCAGACATCACTTATGTCAGGTCCCAAGCAGACGTCCCAGCGGGTTGGCGTTGTTATCCGGTTGCTTCCAGAGGACTCGGAGGGAAGAGAGATGCAGAGCGCGCTCACTCCAAGCTGAAGTACACATGACGTACACAAAACATCCCATCACACCGAAACTAGCCACATCCACGCACCTCTTTATGCTGTTCCTGCTCCTGTTTCCGTGTGGTGTTCACGGAGGCCAGCTCGGCCCGGCAGCTTGTCAACTCCTCCTCCAGTTCCGCCCTGGTGACGAAGTGTTTTGGTGCCAGTGAGATTATGAGGCCAAACTCGGCGGCATTCGTAACGGCTGTTAGTGTAAGATACCAGCTAGCCCCCACCTGTCCTTCTCCGTGGTCTCCAGCTTGGCAGTGGTGGCAGACAGTTTGGAGGTGAGAAGCTGGGCGGCTGCCTTCCGTTCCTCTAGCGCCTCCTGAAGCTGACCCAGCTGGAAGGTCAGGTCACTAAAACAAAGCGGAGAGAAGAAATTGTCTACATATATGATGCACGTCACGCTAGCTGGCAGCGACTTTTGTCTATAACGTTGCTGGGTGTCAAGCTGCATAAAAGCCGGCATCACAACACTTTTGGAGTAAAACGCTGGGAAAATCACGACTGACTCTGATTTCGCTGATCTCAGACTATCCACCTCTGCCTGTCAGCCAACTTGTGAGTCAGGGACGCTCACGGCTTGAGAATTTACATGTATTCTCAATCAGTACCATCAGCTCTTATCTAGCAAATAGGGAATCCCTTCCTTAGAACTGCGTTAAGTATACGGAAAAAACAATGGCCTTCCTATGTACCGAAATCGCTGACTTTCCATACCCAAGGCCAGCGTACACGGCCGGCGCGCTGGGCCAAAAGGTGCCGGTGCGGGGGACAGTAACACTCACGCCTGGACTCCTGAGAAGGACGCCCGCTCCGTCTCCAGAGTCCGGAACACTCCATCCACCTGGCGTCCACAGCTCTGTACAGGGAGCTCTGTGCGAGTGTCTGGACATTCACCTGAACATCCACGGAAGTCGTGGGCGGGCACGGCACGTCCGCAATGCCCGCACCGCTCAGCCGCACGCTACGCCCACGAATCGAACACCCATGGAATGTGAGTGACACACGGAATGTGAGAACACCACGGATGTGAGTGATGTGAGCATCAGCTCACGTCACTCACATCGAGTCCACATATGACACAGCTCGGCTCCACATGAACGTCACTCATATAGATTCACAGCAATACAGTCCAAGAACGGAATTTTGTCTCACCGCCGACAAGAAATCCTCACTTCCCAGTGCAGTTGCCTAACAGACATGTGTACGGCGATCAACTTTTCTATCGGCCTCGACACGCGGTCGTGCCGCAGGCGATGTGCGACAGGCGGCAGGCTACGGCCGAACGTTAGGCGCCCGGCAGGGTCTCACCTGAATCTGCGCCGTCAGGAGGGGAGCGCTCGGTCGCCTGGTGCCGCTCCGACTCCAGTAGCTCCTGGTTGTTGCGGACCCGGAGAGCTGTAACAGCCACGACACGGGTCTGACACCCCGAACAGCTGATGCGGAGTGACACGGGTCTGACACCCCGGACAACAGAGGCAGAGAGACACGGGTCTGACACCCCGGACAGCAGAGGAGGAGAGACGCGGGTCTGACACCCCGGACAGAAGGCAGAGAGATTACAGGTCAGACACCCTGGATAGCCAGAGGCAGAGAGAACGGGTCTGACACCCCGGACAGCAGAGGCGGAGAGATGCTGGGTCTGACACCCCAGACAGCGCAGGCGGAAGAAGAAAGAAGAGAAACACGGGTCTGACATCACGGGCAGCACAGGCGGAAAGACACGGGTCCGACACCCCAGACAACAGAGGCGGAAAGACACGGGTCTGACACCTCGGACAGAGGCAGAAAGACAAGGGTCTCACACCCGGACAGCAGGGGAAAGAGAGAGGACACGGGTTCTGACACCGCAGCACGTCTCCTCCACAGCAGCAGCCGGCATCTCACCGATGGCCTGGGCGAGGTCGGGCGGCAGGGGCGTTACCGTCCACCGGACACGAGGTCAGTGACCTGTTGGCCTGCAGGGCGTCGACCAGGCTGCGGCCCGCCCAGCACGCCCACGCCGTTCCAGCGCAGGTCTGGGGGCACGACGGACGTGTGGTGCTAACATGCGGCGTCTCCGCACTAAAGGCCACGGGCGGTTAACACCCCGCGTGTCGGAGCAGATGGCAGACAGACGGGCCGGACGCTCGATCGCATGCAGCGCCCGACGACAAGACCGAGGGCATCGAATCTAGCATCTCTGACTTGACCCAGGCCAAAGCCCGCCGTATCAGCGTGGTATTTCGTTAGCCATCACCGTGACCGATATGGCACACCGAAAACAATTACAATATGTAATTAATGGATCATGTAACAACCCGCACAGTCCCACCTCAAGCAACGATGGGCGATTGATAGGCACCCGAAACAGGGACATGCAGCACGCATGCATGCAAAATATTCGGCAGGCATATGCGGAGGAGAATGACGTGACCATATCGTGGGAATGATCGTGGTTGGGCATTGGTTGATTTTTGCGTAAGGATGGCCTACATTTGCCCAGTTAGAGCGCCTGGCCCTTCTCTTCCCCACATCTCCCGCCCATTACCGAGGTGGCTGAGGTGGCGGTTGGAGGGCCACGGCGCGCGCCCACGTACGCCGCGCACTGGTGGTCCAGCTGGTTGCTGCGCAGGTCCAGCGACGTCAAGCCTCGGTTGGTGCGCAGCGCGTCGGCAAACACGCGGAACGACGGCGGGCTCAGGCCTGCCGACGGCGCGAGACGCGTCCAGATACGCACCTCGCGGCGGCCACGACGCCATCAAAGCGTGGCTGCCGACTACAGAACATGGCGATGTCCCAGCCATCTCTGACAGAAAATGATCATAAGCTACGTGAAAATGAGACACCGTGAGTCTTTTGTAGCAAAGCTAAGCCAGCCATCGTTATGCACAACCACTAAGATCGGTATGACCACCTGCGGAAAAGCTGCCCTTCACGTAAAGGGAAAGGTCTCCCCGACACGCACTCGTGCAGCTGTGGCGACGTTGGCAGGCGCGGCAGCCAAACGCCTGCGGGCAGCGTCAGGTGACGTGTGCCGACTCACCGAGGTTGTTCCACTCGAGTGTGAGCGCGCGCAGGCGGCCGTTCTTCTTGAGCAGGGTGGCCAGGTGCTCCGTACCCGGGCCGCGCACGTTGTTACCCCGGAGCTCCAGCAGCTCCACCGATGTGTTCAGGCACAGGCCTAGGCACAGTGCCTGGAGACAGAAGCCATCAGTGAGCATGAAGAGGCTCAGCAGCCACAAAGCAGAACCAGCGACAGGCCACCAGAAACGGATGCCACGAAGCAAAAAACAAAAACAAAAACAAAACAAAACAAACACAACAAAACGGAGTCACAAAGACGACTAAGGCCTGATCGGATAAGAAGAAGGAACAAAGCACTGTGAATCTATAATTCCCACAATTTATACTGCAGCGGCAAAATGCAAATAACGGACGTCGTGCGTTGTAGTTTAGGGAGCATGTTTAGCTGCGTACGGTTGCTTGCGACGCCCCGAACGTCACTGGAGGCGGACATCTACTGATTCATCTGCGCCCTATCCGCACAGCGCTATGCCACGTCACAGGCGGCGGCGCGCGCGCGGCCCACCTTCAGGGCATCCTCGGAGAGCAGGCAGTCGTTGAGGCAGAGCTGCGTGACGTCGGCTGTGGTGGAGAGCAGGTTGCCGAGCACGGCCGCCTGCTCGGTCGGGACGTCGCTGCCAGACAGGTCCAGTCGGCCGTCCGTCCTGCTCACGGTACGGCGGCGCACCGCGCGCGGGACGCCGTTAGCGCCCGGCAAGAGGTGCAGTGTGGTGTGGGACAGCGCCCACTGTGCAATCGACAGGAGAATGGCTGATCATGGGAAGCAGGCATGCCCTATGCTGGTAACCAAAACAGGAATGTGCAGTCAGCCTGCCTAGAAAATATTCATATGGCATATGCTGGATAGAATAAAGTGGTCATGTGTTGGGAATTGACCATGGCAGGGCATAGACCAGTTTTTATGTAAAAATGCAGCCTAGTTGTGCTGCAAAAAGGACATTCACTTCAACATGAAAGAATGATACTAATTAGACTAAAACCAACACACTATTCAACTCCTCTGCCTTTAGATCTGCTGGACATGACTGTGAACTGTAAAATGGAATTCTTGAACAGAAAGCTGTGTTAAAGAACATGCCTGAAAATCAGAACTAATTTTAACTATTTCACAGTTAGAGAATGGAAATGAAGACCTATCATGCATGCTGGGGTGCAAGTGAGTAGCAGCACCCCTGCTTGCCATGCACTCTGAAGCCCAACCAAAGGGACTCCTGCCATAATCAAAACATAATGAATTGGATTGGGGGTACAGCCAAGGAAGGGGGCACAGGTGGCCTGCCCCTCCCCTTCCCACCCTGAGGCCCATATTTTTCACCACAGAGGGCACCTGACAGAAAATCAGAAATTAGGATGATGTAAATTCAACAAGCTCTGGCCCCTCCTGTAAGAAAATCCTGGCTGTACCCCTGCATTGAATTCAGCTGTTTGTGTCAACTCACACATGTGTGTGAACAGTGCAGGGGGTTATGCACACTATCAGTGTCAGGATTCCCTAATGCAGTCAGCTAGGTGGCAAAGATATGAACCAAAATTTTACCCATCAGACTTATTCCTAGTTCTGAATGGACATATCAGGTTATTGCACGCTACTTAGATGGACCTGGGACCATTCATGCACCTTGACCGAGATCTGACAGCCAAGATTTGCATTGCCTGGGATGGGTGGGATGTGGGATGGATGGGATGGCTAGACACGCACTCGGTGACATCCTCCACTTCATGCTCATTGGTTGATATTCAGGAAGGGGAGGATCAGCATGACATGAGGCCTAACATAGGGTTCCAATAACATGCATCTAGAAAGTGCACCCTTCTAACTTTTACAGCTATCTATCTGGGTGAATTTAATATTCTTATCAACATAAATAAATCAGGACCCTGCATGAGAATGCAAAGAACTTGACATAGAGTGAGCTGGCCAACAAACACACAGCATGTCTGGCTAGGTAGCATTTAACTACTACCTTGTTACCATACCTGCTAATGCAGAGGTTTTCTGTGATACTGCTTGCTGGTTCCACATTGAATTCCTTGCACATAAGGTTAAACTGTTCTTGAAAACTCATGACTTGTCAAAATCCTGTGAAAATATAACCCAATTGTTATGTTTTAACATGCTATTAACATGAAATATTAGCTCTCACAGGCTCTTGGTGAGGTTTGAAACTCTTACCCAAGCAAGTGAGAGGGCTCAGCATGCAGCTACTTGCTGCTACATTTCTAAGTTGGCATACATAATATACATAAAATGTTAATCTACCATTGCTATCTTTCAGCATGGGACCTATTTATATCCCATTTACATCCTGATATTGAAAGTTTGCTGATTGATGATATGGAGTATTACCTGCATTAACATGCACAGAATGTCGGTCTGGACTAGTACTGTGTATATGCATAACATTGCAATTATTTGCTTGCAAGAAGTTGTTAGATCTGACCATGCCTGTCTTGAAACTAATATTGACCTGAATATTGGTTTAGATCAAAACATATGTGTCAAAATGCCAGGTTTCAATATTTTTGAGTTATGCATGTGGGCAACTCTAAATTTTCTGAATAGTATCACAACACATATGCAGGAGTACAGCCTATCAAAGCCTGCACCCACAGCTAATTTTTTCAAACCTCTCCCAGCCAAACCCTCCCATACATTACAATGTTGTCTTTTGAAACACAATGATTTTTCTTCTTATATGGTAAACACTATCAGTCACCCAAATATGGTTCAGTTCAGATTATCAGTGGCCAGATAGCCTCACTAGCATCTGTTGTGAACATAAAGACAATTTGAATTGTGAGCCAGACTTCAGAAATGTGTATTATGTTAAAAAATGTCCAGCATAGCAGCATGACAGCACAAATTTTGCTGCATGCATGACATAAATTAGAGTACTTAGAGTTTGATGCACTGCCACCACCTATTTCAGCAGAGAGCCAATGTTTCATGGGAATTATGGTGATGCACTGGTTAATTGCAGATACAAATACTCCACAAACATTTCACATGCAGAAATAATTTCAAAATCCAGCAAAATGTGGCCTGACCTGAGTTTGACGCACGCGAGAGCACCGATCTAGCGTAGACGTCCGCCGCAATGGATGGGTTTTTCACGTTGCGTTGTAACATTACATGAGCATTTGCGCGGTCTTACGCAGAACAATGGGCGATCGGTCAAGGAACCAATGCCCATATGACACCTACGAAGCAAGATATCCTGAGCTACGAGCAATGGAAGAACATAACAATCCAAAACGATCTCAAAATAAATCGCGCGCGCCCCGGCATCTTCACCGCCTGCACTCCTGCATTCCTTTCTGAATGATTGCTTACACTAGTGTAAACTTCGTTGTCAAGGAAATATGGAAACAGCAGAAGACAATTCCCCAATTTCTTCAGCAAATACATAAACTCGATGACTCGCAAAGGTAAATAAACACTACTAATTGATAAATATTTACCTTAAAAATGTTGTTTCATTTATTTTGGTGTTGTTTGAGCTCGTCTGTACCATACTTATACAGATAATAAGCAATATTTTTTATTTTTGCTGTCATCAAGACAATCAGTTTTCTATGCCTTAAATACACATTCGTAGCCAGCTACCAGATTGGCAAGCGGGGCGCCAGCGGCGATGTATGACCAAGTTCTGAGTATGGCCGTGTCTACATCTTTGAAAAATGCGGCGCTGTCATGGCCGTTCCACTTGAGATCTGATTGGCAGCAGCGGCACAGCGGGTGAAAGTAAGCGGTTTTAACACGCGCTCGGGTGTGGGGTCAAATCGACCCCCCCTCGAAGATTGTCCCGGAATGATTTCCGAACGGCGCCGGCGCAGCCGCGCTAAATTTTGCATACTGTAGACAATTGAATAGCGGATCGTTTTAGACGTAAAAAATTAGATGTTCGTTGTAAGGTCGCTGACCTATGGGGCAGATCAAAGTCAGGCCATGGTTTCAGCAAAGGCAAGTTCTAGGACAGCGTTCAGTGTGATAAACAACTGAGTGTTTGACAAAACCATACATCTCTTAGATGCCTTCTTAGGCACCACAAATATTGAATGAGCAAATTGTGTTGACGTAAGGCCAGGTAGGAAGGTCAGGATGAGGTTAAAGCCAGCCTGATTTATTATTGGTGTTCTTCAAGTACTTCACCTCTTTTAGAAGAAGAATATCAAAGCTATCTTGGTCTAAAAATGATGAGGATGCTTGCCTGAACTTACCTTTGCAGCAGTAATTACTTTACCTAACAACTTTGTTTACTACCTTAATGAATGACTTAACAGCAGTAATTACTTAATTTGGCAGGTCATTGACAAACATCAGATCAGATCATGTGACTGATTAACTGCAAACCAGTCACCATATGTAACTTAAGGTGAGAGGCCAGGACCAGATGATAAATAAAGCGGCATTTCTATGGCATGACGTACCACAGAAGTTGGTAAAGATGTGTAAGGGGTTACTAAGTAACATCAGCTCTTAAGAGACAGTTAGGAGCAGTTAGGTGCTGTTTGTTCTACATACAGTAATTGGTGCAGCAAGCCTCTCATAAGTAATAAGCTACAACTGGAAGATCATTGTTTATGCTGATCCTGCCACCAGCTCCTATAGTATCTGCTTGCAGTACTAGTAGAGCATACCAAAACTGACATAGCTCAATTCACATTTAACACCCTGGCAATGTCCACAAACAGAGCCAAAGTGCCCTCTGCATCATAGCCTCCTGCTTCACTATATTGCTTTTCAACCACAGCAGTTCAGTGAAATAAAATTTTCCACATGTTGTGGTCACAAAAACCTAGAGTACAAATCACCATTTAAGTGATAAGCTGCTCAGCATGCATGAGAAGAATTGTTTTAAAGATCCAGTCACACAATTTGGGACATGGTGATCATTGGTGTGTTGCATAGCACATGCTCATTTTTGTCTCCTCTTCCAGCTTTTCAGGATAATTGAACCAGATTAAGCACTATGGTTCTGCGGAAGATGAACCTGATCGTGGCTGTGGCATCCAACGGGGGTATTGGAAAAAATAATGATTTGCCATGGAAACTGACGTAAGTTACAATTTGGGTTGGTGGAAACTTGATGGAATATTTCATGTGGTTAACTTGGATCATTATTTCCAGCATTCAGAACTGCTGGTTGTACTTCATTACCAGATGGCTTGTATATGTAGATGCTGCCAATGGAGATCTGGTTTCCCATATAGCTGGAAGAAGTGACAGCCTCAGACTTCACTGATCACAAGCTGTGCGGTCAGCATCCTCAAAGCAAAAGTATCATGTTTTAGGCCAAACGGGGCTGTAGTTAGTGACATGGTTAGGGGTATCTGATTCACTCTGCAGAACCAGTTTTCTGTAATTTGTTTTCAATGTATCAAGCTCAGTTGAATTGCGGTTTCTGCGGTATCTTATCGTCAGAATCCCTGCATACCAGCGCGTGAAAACGTCCTGTTCAGTGTTCAAAGTACTGTTCAAAGTACGTGCTTTAGTTAGTTTGCTGACGACCGAAAAACACACTGACCCTCAGCAATAATGTTGGATTGACTGTAGTGTCACCGGCTGCGAAGCAACCATGACACCTGCGCCTCGCTGCGGCCATCCCGCACACTTGCATGGGCGATGACTCAGCTCAGCAGCTCAGGTATTCGACTGTGGTTTTGGTTTGTGTTTATGTCATCAAGCACTAGCGCGGCCGAGCGCATGCATGTTGCGACTTGAGGGGGTGGCTGTTAAAAAGGGGTGCCTGGACCGACGTCGCCTCACGGCGGCGGCTCCAGTGCAACCTAAGTAGCGCGTGTTTAGTGCATGCAGGGACCGCGCCTCAGACGCGCTGTGGTCGGGCTCTTGATTGAGATGTTCGATTTCTGTTTTGCAGAAAGGAATTTAGGTATTTCGTCAACACGACGCGCCGTTTGGAGGACGCCAGCAAGAAGAATGCCGTTGTCTTGGGCCGCAAAACCTGGGAGTCCATACCACCCACAATGAGACCAATGAAAGGCAAAATCAACGTGATTGTTACTTCTCAGAAAGATTTGTAAGTACGTTAGCGTGTTACACGTCACTTTTGATGGGCGGTGTTTCGAGGGTCACAGTTCCTGGTATTCCACGTTGCCAGTTGCACCGTGTTAAGCGGGAGAACTTTAGAGGATCACGTCACCAACAGTGTCATATTCAGTTACATGTGTAGGTGCGCACGCTAGCAGAATTTTCCATAGGGATTAGGTTGGTGAAGTCGAGAATGTCTGGAACTTAGCCATGATATTTACCCAACTTCATTTGCCTTGGCAAAACAAAATTGAGTGAGGTGGGGTGAATATACATGTGTTCTCTGATATTTAAGCTGTTGGACTGTAATGCATCATGGGGAGAGATAGAGAGAGAAGAGAGAGAGAGAGAGCGAGAGAGAGAAGAGAGAGAGAAGAAGGAGAGAGAGAGAGAGAGAGAGAGAGAGAGAGAAGAGAGAGATAGAGAGAGAGAGAGAGAGAGAGAGAGAGAGAGAGAAGAGAGAGAGAGAGAGAGAGAGAAGAGAGAGAGAGAGAGAGAGAGAGAGAGAGAGAGAGAGAGAGAGAGAGAGAGAGAGAGAGAGAGAGAGAGAGAGAGAGAGAGAGAGAAGAGAGAGAGAGAGAGAGAGAGAGAAGAGAGAGAGAGAGAGAGAGAGAGAGAAGAGAGAGAGAGAGAGAAGAAGAGAGAGAGAGAGAGAGAGAGAGAGAGAGGAGAGAGAGAGAGAGAGAGAGAGAGAGAGAGAGAGAGAGAGAGAGAGAGAGAGAGAGAGGAGAGAGAGAGAGAGAGAGAGAGAGAGAGAGAGAGAGAGAGAGAGAGAGAGAGAGAGAAGAGAGAGAGAGAGAGAGAGAGAGAGAGAGAGAGAGAGAGAGAGAGAGAGGGGGAGAGGGAGAGGCAGGAGGCGCGGGCGGGCAGGCGGGCAGGCAGGCAGGCGCAGGCAGCAGGCAGCGCAGGCAGACGCGGGCAGGCAGGCAGGCAGACAGACAGACTTGGCCTGCTTGTTCAGTTCCGGTGACGGTGTTTTGATCGTGACAGCCTGCAGAACA